TTACAGGGTTTGAAATCAAAAGCAGCGTTGGTTCCTTCAGGGAAAAATGATCCCAGTCTACCAAAATAAAAGCCAAACAGACTCTTAATTGTTCCTTTTTCCACAGGGGCTTGCCCTTTTTGAAGGTGTGGGTTAGTTTGATAGGACCTTCTCTCCAACAAGGTTAGTCACTGGAAATCGCCTCTTCCCCTGGGTAAAACCCACTTTTAAATCTATTTTAAAACAGACCTCAAAGTGTCTTTGAAAATAAAAGCGCTTTGGCATCTCTCCATTCCCTTGCCCCCTCCCTCTTCGCAAGGAGATTCCAGTTTTCTCACAGGGGGCCCCTACTGCAGTGTCTAATCCTCATGCTAAATTAGGAAAGATTTACATTTTATAGTTTTTACTGAGCTCTCCATGTGTTGTGAAAAGTTAAATAAATGCCAACCAGGGGGCTAAATTATTTTTCTCGTTTTCCATCAAGGCTAGTTCCATAAATTTCATAATGTCAGGTTTTTCTATTGGTTGTTAGTCTGGTGTTCATCGAAACATTCAGAACATCAGCCTTAACTTTCCCCAACCTTTTTTTTTTTTTTAAATTTTAAAGATTTACTTATTTATTTTAGAGAGCACTGGTGGGCACGAGCAGGGGGAGGGGCAGAGGGAGAGGGAGAGAGAATCTCCAGCAGACTCCTCACTGAATGCAGAGCCTGACACGGGGCTCGATCTCACAACCCTGAGATTATGACCTGAGCGAAACCAAGAGTTGGATGCTCAACTGAGCCCCCAGGCACCCCCCTCACCCCCAACCTTCTTAACCTGCTTTGACTAAAGGTGCAGAACTATGCCATTCATGAATCCTTGTTCTCTATATCAGCTCTTCTACTCCTTGGAGATTTGAAAAATATCACCTCATGCTACTTGCAGATTTTTTCTCAGTGCGTGAGGATTTTCAAATCAAACCAAGGTTGTTGGTTTTTTGTTGTTGTTGTTTTCTCTCTTGTCCTCTTTTCTTCCTCCAGTGTCTTACGGCCCATGATTTGGCAACCCCATACAGGAGGCTCCTGAGCCACCAGTCACATGAGAATGAAGGCAAGAAAAGAAAGGACCAGATGGCATCAAAAGATACGCCTTTCTAGGTCGTTGGTGGTTAAGCTTGCAGTCTGGTTTACGAGCAGGGAGACTCTGAGGGAAAGGGTGGAGGGCAGCACAGCACCATTGTAAGGGAAGAAGACTTCTGCCATATAGTTTGCTTCAGTAATCTGCTGGGGAGAAAAGAGTTACACATCAAGGTGAATGAGTTTTCTGATTAGACTTCCCAGTTTACAGTCACAGGGTATCACATTGCTCTTGGAAGGGTGAATTCACCTAAAGCTGGCATAATAAGCACGTATGGAAAACTGTGTGCAGTATTTGGACGGCAGCTTTGAAGAGTGTGGCTCCTGCTTGGTCAGTTTCTGTCCTTCAACGGCAATTAACCTTTTGTTACTCTGTTCTCCAAATGTCTGATTGTCTTACAAGTATAAAAACTGGAGGAAATGACATTTGGCTCTCACAGAGAGACCTTTCCCCACAGGAGAGCAAAGGACATCGTTTACCATTCATTCTTCACACTCTTACCTATTTTAGAGGATTGTATGTATAAAACATGGAAAATGGCATCACTGGTCTTTGTGAGACATGATAACTCAGGGTATGTTTTCTTAAGCTGTAACCTGGAGCACATTTGTAATTACTTGACTGAAGAAATGTTCAGTAGTGGCTAATAAAAAATATTTTAGAGGGCAGTCTGCCTTTGCTGTTCATCTAGCCATCTTACACGTTGACTCCCCTGGCCTGGGCAGATTCTGATTTGTCAGTGCTCTTGCAGACCACCAGACGGCTGAACTTGGCTGATATTTCCATGCAGAATTCCAACTTCGTTGTTTTCCCCTGAAAGAAAAAAGTAACTTGATTTCAATATATGAACTTGAGTCCTATACTCTTTTAATTACCTTGAAAAGCCTTGCTTTTTCGTAGACAAATTCAGTATCCCTCAAGTCCAAAGTCAAGTTTCAGCTTCTCTTATAAGTCTGCTTTCTCCAGTTACAATCTCCCATTTTATTCAGATTCTGTTGCCCTGGATTTCTGTATGACTCATTTCATTATGAACGAAATGAAACCAAACAATATGTTTCATTCTGTAGTCTAGATTACAAACTCTTAAAAGTTCACGTTTCTTTTTTGACTTCTACCACTCAAGCAAGTGTGTGGAATATTGCTGAATACACAAAGTCATGTAGTAAATATATATCTCAATAAGAAGAAGAAAGAGAGGGCGCCTGGGTGGCTCGGTTGGGCGACTGCCTTCGGCTCAGGTCATGATCCTGGAGTCCTGGGATCAAGTCCCGCATCGGGCTCCCTGCTCGGCAGGGAGTCTGCTTCTCCCTCTGACCCTCTTCCCTCTCATGCTCTCTCTCAAATAAATAAATAAAATCTTTAAAAAAAAAAAAAAAAGAAGAAGAAGAAGAGAGAGAAAAAAAATAGACATTTTAATATTATGTTAGTTGATTTCTACCTAGATTTTAATATGACTTAGATCTCACAAAGCAAAAAGTGACCCACCCATTTTTTTCCTTGATGTAAAACTCTCGTAAGGAGTCATTCTGAAGTTCCTTAAACTCAATGTAAAAGATATTTCCTGTATATGCACTGAATTTCTGGGGTTAAGTAAATAAAATTGACAAGTTATTCTTGTGGCAACATGTTAACTTTACTTGTTAGTTGCTCTATTAACTTTTTTAGGTGACTGAATTCAGAGCCCCCTTGGGAGCCTCTAGTTATTAGCAAAACAACCACCAGTCTTTCTCTCCATCCTCCAGTCACATCATACGAGTGCAGTTGTGGGGCATATCCTATAATAATTCTAATGAAGAGTTTAAAGGCACTTTCTACTATGGATTTTTTTGTTTTGTTTCTTGTTTTAGTCTGCTCAACCAAAGCACTCAGTGATCATGTGAGTCCTCACTTAAGTGGTTTTCCAGTTAAAAATGAGAATTTTACTAAAGGTTCTATGATTTGGGGTAGCACAGCAGGAGAGCAGATGACTTTTAAATTGTTAAATCTCATTAAGGGGAATCCATTGATATACCTTTAATTTAGGGGAAAATTTAAAATTCCGTTATCTACATCAGATATGTCAGATTTCAGCCTGGAGCCAACTATTAGATTTGAGTTACTGAACTCAGTAAAGAGATTTGGAATGGAAATACTAATGGACCCCTAACTATAGCTGGGGTAGTGGGTATTGGAAGAATCTTGACAGTTCATTACCAAACCTCTGACCTCACTACCCTTAATCATCCTTGCTTGTCAGTGACATAATTGGTTGCTTTTTGTCTTCTCCTGCCCCGCTTTCAAATTGCTAGCATTTGAGAATTTCACTTATTATTTCTTGTGTATTAAGACCAAGAAAGCATAGTTTGGTGGGTGAACTAGTAAAACCATTTTGGCCCTCTTTGAGAGGATGATGTGTTTTGTTCCTGGTGCAATTGAGACAGTTGCTAAATTGTCAGTTATAAGTCTTTAAGGAATAAGGATAACCTGTGAACACGTTTGTGGATTTTCTTTTCAGATATACTATTTATTAATTGCTGAATTATGTTATGCCTATGAAGCACAGATCCAAAGATGTGGACTAGCATTGTTTTAGTGTACAATTATGTACCCAGAACTCTCATCATGGTGATCATAGTACCTTTAGGATATAGGGAAGGTAAATCCATGAGACTGTGTGCTGAAGTTGCCCATAGGATGGGTGGATTAAAGAATGCAATAATTTTAGTAAAGAATTTTGTCAGGGTGCCTGGGTGGCTCAGTTGTTAAGCATCTGCCTTCGGCTCAGGTCATGATCCCAAGGTCCTGGGATCAAGCCCCATGTTGGACTCCCTGCTCAGCGGGGAGCCTGCTTCTCTCTCCCTCTGCCCTCCCCTGCTTGTGCTCTCTCATTCTCTCTCTCAAATAAATAAACAAAAATCTTTAAGGGTGCCTGGGTGTCTCAGTTGGTTAAGCGACTGCCTTCGGCTCAGGTCATGATCTGGAGTCCCTGGATCGAGTCCCGCATCGGGCTCCCTGCTCAGCAGGGAGTCTGCTTTTCCCTCTGACCCTCCCCCCTCTCATGTGCTCTCTCATTCTCTCTCTCTCTCAAATAAATAAATAAAATCTTAAAAAAAAAAAATCTTTAAAAGTTTTTGTTACCTAGCTTTCTCCCATGTGTAGAAAATTGGAGGTGGGATAATGAGAGAGGGAGGAGAGAGAGAAATAAAAATTTAAAACTAATGAGCTGGTACACTGAGATATTAGGAAACAGGTGTTTATGGGTTTTTGTTTCAGTGGCTGAAATTGACCACAGAGCCATATATTTTGCCTAACCCTGTCCTAGCTGATGACACAATTTTGCTGTTTCTAATGTGTTGAATCATATGAAGTTGCCATTTTTATAAGTGAGAATTGTATATCAGAAATTTTCTGTGGTTCATCCTAATATGTAACGTGTAACACTGTAGGATGGCTACAGTTGTAGAGAGAGGTGTGTGTAAAAGATGGGAGGGGAGAAATGGAAATTCGGGAGCAATTTATACCCCGTGGGAGTACTCCAGCTGAAAACTGCTACTCTAGCCTGTGGTTCTAGGCATTCAAAATCAAATACAGTTAATTGCCCTAGTATGCTTTCCTACTTCCACATTAATACAGTTGGAGACAGTTTATGGGGTGGCTTAAAAAGTAAATCAACTCTGACAGAGATTACCACTGGGGATGATGATCTGAAGTGACCGTGTCTGCAGAGTACAACAGAAATGGCAGCGACTGAAAACCAGTAGGCATGCCCGTACTTGCACGTACTTTGAAATTGAAGAATTAGGGGCGTAACATGGATTGAGACTAAATAATCTGTGAATTATTATTTATCTTAAAATGGGTTTTAGGATGTTTCTAGTGGAATATTCAGGCTGTGCTGATTTGGTTTTTGTTGTCTTTTGTAGACGAGCTCATCTGCGCCTGTGTTTAGAACGCTTAAAAGTTCTGATTCCACTAGGACCAGACTGTACCAGGCACACAACACTTGGTTTGCTTAACAAAGCCAAAGCACACATCAAGGTGAGAATTTCTTTCATATTTGTACATGATTGTCTCAGCCCTTGTTTCATTATAAGCAATGATTCCTATTCATAAACATCAGCTAGCTCACTGTGCCCTCCTTAATAACTGACCTCAAGAGGAATCTTCCTGAAAACTTATCAGCTAACCTGATGGGAGCAACGTAACCTGATTAAATTGTTTTGACAGCATGGTCATCTGAGGAGCTGGGAATACTAGGAAACTAACAATACTCTGCTGACCGGCAGAAGGAAGGCAGTTGTGCCCTCTGGTGGAGATGACTTTATTTGGCTGTGTCCCTCAGTATTTTTCCATCAAACTACCGAGTGCAGAGCAAGGTTTTCTTTCATGGAGATAACTTTACAGACTTTGAGAATTTCATACCGTTCTAGTAGCGTAGCATTCATTACGCACACAGAAAAAAAAAGTGAAGAAAGAACTATTTTGGTGTTTAAAAATATGTATTTATGTATGTTTTTATATACACACACACATATGTACTTGTATATTCATTCATATTTTCTCTACCAAAGAAGAAATCTTTTAAGTTGTTAGGTAAAAATGAATTTTATTGTTTGTACTGGACTGTACACAAGTATCATTTTATCATTTTAGAAACTTGAAGAAGCTGAAAGGAAGAGCCAGCACCAGCTAGAGAACTTGGAACGAGAACAGAGATTTTTAAAGCGGCGACTGGAACAGCTGCAGGGTCCTCAGGAGATGGAACGAATACGAATGGACAGCATTGGATCAACTATTTCTTCAGATCGTTCTGATTCAGAGCGAGGTAGGCAGTTTGCTTCTTCCCTAATGAAATACTAAGCATCCCTGTATCTAAATTTAGGCAGGGTAAGTTGGAAAACACTGTATTTGCTTTCTTCTCTTTAGCCAGTACTGCACCATTCTGGCTTTTGTGCAATCACAACATTGTCTAGCAATGCCTGAATGAACTATAAAACTTTTTTTCCTTATTATGTAGGTATATATTTTTAACTTTCTACTTTGAAACAATTTTTTTAAAGATTTTATTTGAGAGAGAGACAAAGATAGTGACAGAGAACGTGAGCTGTGAGGAGAAAGAGAAGCAGACTCCCCGCTGAGCAGGGAGCCCGACGCAAGGCTCAATCCCAGGACCCAGGGATCATGACCTGAGCCGAAGACAGACGCATAACCGACTGAGCCACCCAGGCGACCCTCTACTTTGAAACAATTTTAAACTTACAGAGAAGTTGTGTCTTCTGTAGAAAATTGTAGAGTTCTCATATACTCTTCACCCAGGTTTCCCTACTGTTGACATCTTTTGTAGACATAATACAATCACTGCAACCAGAAAATTAACATTCATGTAATTTTATTAATCTATAGACCTTACTCAAATTTCACCAGTTTTCCCACTAATGGCCTTTGTCTGATCTAGGATCCAATGCAGGATCCAATATTGCATTAGATAGTTCCTCTGAATCTATGACCGTGACACTTTTGAAGAGTATTGGCCAGTTATTTTATTTTTTTTGGCCAGTTATTTTATACAGTGTCTCTCAAGTGTCTGATGTTTTCTCATTAAGTTGAGGTTATACATTTAGGAGGAAGAAATACCACAGAGTGATTTGTGCCCTTCTCAATTCATTATATTAGGAAGATACATGATGTTGATATGTTTTATAATTGGTGATGTTAATTTTTATGTCTATATTTTATTTTTTTTTAAAGATTTTATTTATTTGACAGCGAGACAGCGAGAGAGGGAACACTAAGCAGGGGGAGTGGGAGAGGGAGAAGCAGGCTTCCCGCAGAGCAGGGAGCCTGATGTGGGGCTCGATCCCAGGACCTGGGGATCATGACCCGAGCCGAAAGCAGACGCTTAATGACTGAGCCACCCAGGCGCCCCGATGTCTATATTTTAAAGTACCACACCCTTCATTTCTCTTTTCATCTGTCCCAGAACATTTGTCTTTGGCAGAATGAAAGACCAAGAATCAACCAAAAATTTTGTTTGAATTTTACTGATCTGTTCATCTAAAGCTCCCACCACATCAGGCCTCACAACACAGTAGAAGATCCCAGAGGTGAACTCTCAGGATTTTAAGCTTTATAATTAGGGAAAATAGAGCTCACAAGATCTTGAGGTTTCTAAAACAAAAAAGGAATTGTTTGTAAAATTTGTTTTGACTTTTTATCATGGAAATTTTCAAACATACACAAAAGTAGAATAGAATATTGAATTCTCACGTACCCATCATCCAGTTTGAACAGCTGACAACATTCTGCCATTCTTGTTTCATTGATTCACCATCCCCTCATCCTCACCGTTTTTCTGGAATGTTTTAAGTCAAATCCCAGATAACATTATCATTTTGTCCCTAAATACTTCAGTATGTATCTTTAATAAATGGGACTTAAAAAATAACCATAAGGCTATTATATCCCACAAAATTAATAAAATCAGATAATCTTATTTAATGTCTAATACCATCAATTTCTGATAGATTTTCTCAAAGATGGCATTTTACCATTGGTGTGTTTGAATTAGAATCCAAACAGTCCATATTGCATTTGTTTGTGCCTTTTAGGATACTTTTCATCTGTAATAGTTCTCACTTCCACATTTTTTTCTCCCCAGTGCCATTTATTTGTTGTAGAAACAATCATTTTGGGGCACTTGGGTGGCACAATCGGTTGAGCATCTGACTCTTGGTTTCAGCTCAGATAGTGATCTCGGGGTAGTGAGATCAGTCCCCCATGTCAGGCTCTGTGCGGAGTCTGCTTGGGATTCTCTCTCCCTCTATCCCTCTCCCCACTGTCCGCTCTCTCTCTCTTATATAAATAAATAAATCTTAAAGAAATAAAAAGGAACAGAGTCATTTTTCTTATCGAACTTCCCATGTTCTAGATTTGGCTGATTGAATCCGCATGGCATCATTTAACATATTCTTCTGTCCCTCCTATTTCCTGTAAACTGGTTGGTGGATCTAGTGGCTTGATTAAATTCAGGTTCTTTTTTTGAGGCAAGAATACTTCATAGGTGGTGCTGACACATTTATGCAAATCTCAACCTTTCACTTGATAGTAATCATTAATGATGGTCCCCATTATTATTTTATTAGGTATTACAAATAGTATTTTCTAATCCTGTCATTCTTTCTGCATTTATTAACTTTTTAAAATAAGATTTCCTCATCAACTTTTTTGGTTACCCTGAAATCAAGTCCATATAGGGAAGATGGGATAAATGCTTTTTAAAAATTTTTGTGGTTTTTTTTTTGTCAATTTTCTCAATTAATGAATCGGTGTCTTAGCAACCTCCAGAGGTAACAGGGTTTTTTTGTTTTGCTATTTGGTTTTGATTATCTTATGAACTCCTAGGTTTTCATGTTTTGAATGTGTTCCAATCCATGGTAGTCTTCTTTTTATTCTCTTTAATACTCAAATTTCCCATATTCCATAGAAACATTTCAAATTGATTTTTCAGCCCTTTTAACACAACCCTAGGAGTCCTTGGGTTTGTTGTTGTTGTTTTGCTGTTTAAGTTTGTTTTTATGTGGCACTCAGTTTTAGAGAACAAAAGTTTAACCAGAGGCAGCAGCAGGAACCTCAGGGACGTGCTACATTTATGAATGACAGTGAGGTGTAGAAGGAATGAACCCAAATTAAGAGGCAGACCTTGATCCTAGTCTTTCTTCTGCTGGTTACTAGCTGTGTGACTCTGTCAGGTCTGCAGGCTTTAGCTGCCCTTCCTGCTGTTAACTCCTCCTCGTACCCACCCCACCTCCAAATTTGAGAAAGAGTGTGTCTTCATCATTATAGTTCTCATTTTTTTAGTAGTCCTCATGTGTTACTACTACCTCTTCCCCTGTTCTTATCTTGAAGTCCTCTTTCCCAGTGTTACAAGGGACTTTTAGTAATATCTCTAGTTCATTTGGCTAGTGCAGTCTTTCATTTTACTTTGTTATGATTGAGTACAGCAAGCTCTGTTGGATAGGGTGTTTTGATTCTATTTTCCAATTGTAGGTTGGATGAGTATTCTGTGATACCGGGAAACACCACGTAGCCTGTGAAGCATTATGGATGTAAAACAAATAGTTATGAATTCATAGGATTGTTTGTACAGCTTGTTTGGACAGATGCCTGCATTTTAGAAACAGATTTCTAAACCTTTTTGAAGCAACAAGCCCTTTTGAAAATTATACTCTTTGAAATAACTTACTCTGTCTTCTTGGGCTCAGCAAGAATTCACTTTTCCTAAAAGCAGTTGTGATCAGTATGAACTCTTAGAGCCAGTGCCAGATATGAAACATCAGACTTTGAGCTTAAAAGAATTGAAGGATCTTGAGTTCGTTCTAACTGTTATGGGAGAGAACAGTTTTTCAACTGCCTCTTGGTTTTTAAAATGTGTATTTTATGTAGTATTGGTGATTGTATATGTAGTATTTAACAAACTGTTGATAGCTGGTCATATGTGTTTAGGGATTTTTAAAAAAAATCATGTTTGATTTTGAAGTAAAGTTAAATACCATTACTGAAATGCCTTTACTGTAATCTTTGCTATTGATCTCACTATAACTCAGAAGTTTTTAAGGCTCACACCCTCCTTTCAAGCTATATTTGATGCAAGAAAATCAAATCAAACTGAAGACAAATCCCTCAGAGTTCACTCTCTAATGACTGGCTTAGTTCCGTTACTGAATAGTCAGAGGTCTTTATGATGAATCCTCGAAGTCTGTAGAACTGTCTGTAGGATGAGACTGCCAAAGGCAAGAATAAACGGATAAATTTTCTAGTTCATCTATACTGTTGATGCTTTTTCTCCTCTTTAAGGCAAGTCTGATTAATAAACAACACTGAGAATTAGTGTCTAGTTTAATGCAAAACAGATGTTGTGAAACCACTTGGGGTTGGGATCTTTTAATATTAAGCACTAATTCCCAAATAGGCTGAGTGCTTTTGGTGGGAGGTCCAGACGCACTGGCGTCAAAGGCTTTAGTAAACTTGCTGACTGAGACCACCACTGGATAGCAGACATTCCCCTTTGCAAAATATATCCGTGTGTCTCTTCACCTTCAGTTACTCCTGTTATCCAGAGATCACGGATAATAAGCTTGTGTGATAATTATTTGACACTACAAAAAATGACCACTTTTTCTTATGCCCTTTCCTCATTAGTTTTTGAAAGTGCAGATTACTAATGTTCTTCCTTTTTTCTCTTTGGCAGAGGAGATTGAAGTGGATGTTGAAAGCACAGAGTTCTCCCATGGAGAAGTGGACAATATCAGTACCACCAGCATCAGTGACATTGATGACCACAGCAGCCTGCAGAGTATTGGGAGTGACGAGGGTTACTCCAGTGCCACTGTCAAACTTCCGTTCACTTCCTAGAACCCAGCACGACATAACAGTGCAGGGCAGAATACTCACTGGGCCAGTTCAGTCCAAACAGTCTCTTAAATTGGGTTCATGATGCAGTCTCCTCTTTAAAACGAAACAAAACTATACTTGAACAAAAGGGTCAAAAGACCTCTATGTAAGCAATTACTTAGCAAAAAGTGGGGCAGAGCCTCCCCAGCAGAACAAATACTCACAATATTCGTATTTGAAAATCACAGTTTCTAATGGCAGCAGAAAACTTGGAGAAATTTTCTTGATTTAGTTGATTTGAAAGAGGACATTGGAGATTCTGTCCTCTTTTTCTTCTGTAGTTTGCTCACAATACAATGAGTAGACACATTTAAGGATGGGGTTATGAACCCTTCCTGAGTTTTATGGTCCTAAAAACAAAATCAAACCTATAGTAATGAGAAGACAAGATAATCAGGCATTAACTTGGATAGCTGAACAGCTATTAAAACTCAGCCTGGGACAGCTTATCATGAAGCCTGTGGATGATCAATTCTTGAAAGAAAAAAAAAAAAAAGCAAGCTCATTTCATGCTCTGCAAAAGGAGAGACTCCCATGAAGCCTTTTGAAAGGGATCATCATGCAGCTCAGCTTTCTGTTGGATTCCATGCTAAGCAAGCTAACCTTATCCTGCATTGTTAGCAGTAGGGCACCCAACCGCCAGCTCGACAGTCAGCTGCCCTTAGGCCCTTGGGCAGCATGGGGCAGTGTGTGTCTAATAGCCTCTACCACACAGGGCCTAGGAGTTCGGACTGAGGGGCCAGAAGGAAAAAGCTCTCCATGCCTCTGTGTCTGCGTGGGCCAGAAGAGTTGTGCACGCAGAGTAGCAGGCCAAGGTCTGAGCCATGGCAGCATTTTTATTTCAGATTTTGATAACTGTTTGTATGTGTTGAAAACCAAAATGACATCTTTTTAAAGCTTGTCCATAAAAAAACATCGATGTCTTTTATAGTGGAAAAACACATGGGAAAAAAATCATCTATTTTGATGGAGCATTTGATAATGATGAAACACCTCACACCTCACTCTTTATAGTGCACAAAATGAATGAGGTCTGGGCTAGGTAGAAAAAAGGTCAGTGCTGTTTTTATTTTCTTTTAGAATCATTACCTTTTACCAGCTTTTAACCATCTGCTATCTGTAGTAGACACACTATAATACTTCACGTAGTTAAGTTCGGCACTTGTCTCGTTTTATTGTGAAGATCTGCGTCCATTCTCCTACAAGCAATCTCTCTCCTTCCTCACAGTCCCACTGTGCAGGTGCTATTGTTGCTCTTATACCAATATTTCCAGAAATGTTTTAAGTGAAATTTCTTTTCTAGCCTGCACTTTGACGTCATGTGTTCCCTTTGTCTTTCAAAATCCAAGGTGTTCTCCACTCCCCACCCCCACCCCCCTTTACCCCAGGAAGCCTTCTTGGACCCCTTACCCCTGGCTCTTTGGACTTTGTATACTTTGAATAATTTAACTACCCTTAATTACTTAAAAAAAAAAAGCTTTATGATTTTCATAACTTATTGCTGATTTTAATGGGTTGTTAATTTCAGTCCTGTAGTTTTATTTTGTTTAGATAGGGCTGGCCAAGGAAAAAGAAAATAAAGACAACCATATTTAGCAGTGCAGTTGAGTTGTGTGTGTAATGTTAGACTATCCTTTGTAAGTAGCACTTTAACAGCTTTCCCTGCTTCTATGTATGAAGTGTACCATCTTGGTCATACACAAGGCCTCAGCATATACTTACTTGTTTTTGTGCTCTTCCTGTGCCTCCAAAAATATTTTATCCTTGATTGTGCTATGTTTGAGTGGAAGAAATTCTTTGAAGTAGATGTGTGGAAAACTGCATGCCTTTAGAAGCCCATTATTAGAACTTGCTACTCCAGGTGCTGGGGACTTAATGAAAAACATGATAAATTCATTTCTCTGGCCCAGGTAAATTATTTCTGGTTTCACTTATACTTACTCCTGGCTGGGTCAAAATGTTGCTCTATGTATTTGCTTACTTTTGACTTTCCCAAGGGAGACAGTTTAAAGACTCTGCTAACTACCATGGAAAGTAAGTGGAAGCAAGGATTAAGCTTCCATTTTGTTATTCCCACGGCATTCACCTGCATCACTTGCCTAGGGCTGAAATTTCGGACTTCATTCAGGAGAACTTGAGGTGCTGCCATTTTGTTGTTTAGGTACAGGCTGGTGGGCTGGGAAGCCTTTGTCACAAATCTATAGTACTATTTCACCTGCCCTCTAAATTACTCCTTCCCTGGGTTTGTTTTCCTTGTGGGAGGGGAGTGGATTGTATGACGAGTAAGAAGTATTAATTTTTTAAAAGACAAATTGACTTTGAAGATATAAAAGTTAATTGCAAGAAATAAAAATTGTGAATGAAGAATACCCGAGTGCTTTTTGTACCACCCTTCTCTATGAAGGAAAAAATAAGAATGAGCATCCACACCTTGAGAAGCAACTATGTCCTAAATGTTTGAGTTGATACACGACTTCAGTAGTCTAGAATTAATGGCAATTTGAGTCATTGCCATTTCCTGTTCTATAAACAGGTGCCTTCTTGACCGATAACTCCACGTAACCTAACTGCAGATGGTTTAACATACCCGATGATCTTAACTGCTTCAGGTAGGACACAAAGCCATTTATTATCTGTTAATAACTTTTTAGCGTATCCGTTTGGCTACATAACGATCCATTTAAATTTAAAATAAGTCTGGAAGTTCCTGTTTAGTCCCCACCCACTAACCTGAGTTAAGGTACCCTTTATGTAAGATGCCTGAGTAATGTATTAATAGATGGAGGTAAATCTTCAGTGCATATTTATTACCAAAGAAGATTCTGATGGAGTCAGACTGTAGTTCCTGATTAGAATAGGTATGAGAACTCTGGTAGAAATGCTTTTTCTAATCCCCGTGGCAATGACAGCTTTTAGCCTTATGAAGGGATTTTAAAAGGCAGTGTTAGGCAAAATTTCCTAACGTAAGGACACATTGCCTCCTGGGTCATTTCTCACAAGAAAATTGTTTAACCTCTTGGGGAAGGTTCTTCGTTTTCTTCCACGTGAAGAAGCAGTAGCTGCCTTTTTTCCCTTTATTATCCTCCCACCTCAAAAATTCTATACTCCCTACCAACAATAGCATAATGTGGGAAGAACAGGGTTTTTTGGGTCGCATTTAAATCCTAGTTCTAGTATTTGCTAAGGACTCTGGGCAAGTTAATTTCTTCATGGAGCCTGTTTCCTCCTGAAAAGTTGTTACAAATACTACCTCTATCTTGAAAGGTTTTAAGGATTAAAACTGATATATGTAAATCCCCACACATACTCAGTCTAGGAGTTTGTAGCACCAAAGTAAGAAGTTTGTACTTCTCCTTTCTCTGATGAATGCCACCTTCTAATTTCTTCATCCTTAATCTTGAATTTTAGTTATTCTGACTCTGGGTCTTGCAGAAAAAGACTATTTCTAATAAATAAAATGGTTCATTTTCACAGAATTCCATGACAGGTTATACTTTGTAAGAAGTCAATTTTGATGTCCTATAGATTTTTTTAAATAAAGACTTTATAAGATTGATGTATCAGCGGTTTTAGTGATTACCTGGTCTTTCTAAAAAAAAGACTAACCTGAGCTTGAATCTGTTAAACACTAGTAGTAACCACTGCATAATGCCCTAGTTAATATTTAGTGCTGGCCTTGCCAAGAAAAAAAATCTTGGCCCGTGTACTAGATCTAATAGGAAACTGGTTTTCTTGTGGAATACATCTGATTCTTCCAAATATTAAGTGTGGCTCAAAATACATGTACTGGCTGACAACCTCACTTCTTGGTTCTGTTTTACCTTTCTATACTGTCATAAATTATTAGGGGAAATGGCTTAGATGAAGCTCTTTTAAAGTACTGCCAACTACTTATAATTTCGAAATTTTTTTCCATTTCCTCAAGCTCTTAGTTCTTTGTTATGGAGGAATGCTTGAAGTCTTTATTGGTAGGGCAGTAACTGGGCTATTTATCTCAGATTTTCACATCAGGGCAAAAAAACAGCACTGTAGAGACATAAAAGCCATAAGATAGCTCTAAAATGCGTATTAAAAATACAAATTTAAGAAGCTAGTTGCTCCTAAACTAGCAGCTTTATCACACTCTGGAAGCTATGTCAACTAAACCTGACCGTGCTTTTGGAGGGACAAACCTGGTAAAAGGGGATACTTACTCCTTCCTGCATACTTCTGAGCAATGAACAATTGGACAATTACCATCTATTAAAAACTACCCTAGCTGCAGGTCTCAGGCTTCAACTCTAGTTTTCCCAGGATATAGAGTCAAGTGTCTTCCAAGGCTGAAGTGCATTTCTGACCTTCTCTGGGCAGAAATGCACTGCATCTTGCTCAAGTGAGTACAGGGCTTGAAAGGGGAAAACACAAAAACACATCCGTTTTCACCAAGAAAGGCAAAATCATGAGCCAGCAAAATAATAAACATGACTTTGGGCCTCTAGTTGAGAAAGTAGCTCTTCAAACAAAAAACCTTTTCTCTTAATGCATGTAACTGTGGCTCCTTTAGCTGTGATCTTAAAGTAACCGGGAAAACAAATTACAATTTTAATAATTTCAGTAACTTAAATCTGTACTGGTTTCATAAAAGTGAATTGGTGAAGTGCCTGGTGTAGTAAGTAAAATGTCCGTTTTTATTTCCTGGGAACTGAAAGATGACTCTATCCAAAATTTGGTATTTTTAGCTAGTCCAGCTGTCAACTACCACAAACCCAATAGTATTCTCAGATCTGCTTTACCCCACTCAAGGCCACAGAAGAACCACCTTTATATATACTTAAGCTGAAAGGCAAAAAAGGCAATCAAAGAACCTCACAGAACTCTTAACACCTTCATCTTAAATTTTACTTTCTGTTGGCTGGGCCAAGACAAATTCTCAGAATGCCAATATTAGTCTCTGCACATTTTAAGGTATTTAAAAACATATCTATACATAAAAAATCATAGTATAAGGGGATTCAATTACTTGTGTTGTTTGTTTAAACTGTGGTATTACCTGTTCTATTGCCTGCTATGTTCTTCCTCTCCACTGTAGTAAAAATTCAGTTTAACTTGCAGCTCTAAAACCCTAGATATAAAGAATGTTTACATTTACTGTTGAACAGGTAAATTACCATTTATACTAACCGGTTGCTTCATAGTATAATACAAATAATACAATTCAGCAGATATTTTTTTTTTTAAAGATTTTATTTATTTATTTATTGGAGAGCGAGCGAGAGAGAAACAGCATGAGAGAGGAGAGGGTCAGAGGGAGAGGCAGTCTCCCCGCTGAGCTGGGAGCCCGATGCGGGACTCGATCCCAGGACCCTGGGATCATGACCTGAGCTGAAGGCAGTCGCTTAACCAACTGAGCCACCCAGGCGCCCCTGATGCCTAATCTTAATAATTGGGCTAAGGAAATTGCCCATTAGTAATTTTTCCTTCATTTCAAAAATCAAAGTGTTTTTTTTTTTAAAGATTTTTATTTATTTATTTGAGAGAATGAGAGACAGCACGAGAGGGAAGAGGGTCAGAGGGAGAAGCAGACCCCCTGCTGAGCAGGGAGCCCGATGTGGGACTCGATCCCGGGACTCCAGGATCATGACCTGAGCCGAAGGCAGTCGCTTAACCAACTGAGCCACCCAGACGCCCCAAAGTGTTTTTACATTTAATGTAAAACATGGTTCTAGGCCAGGGATGCACATCAGAATCACCTGTGGTGTTTGTCAGAAACAGACATACTTTGGCCTAAATAGGTCTGGAATAGGACCCAGATCCAGAAATCCCGCTTTTAATTTTAAGCAAGCATTAGGGTAACTTTATTATAACTTGTACTCCCTTCCCATCAGAGGCATGCCCTAAAATATTCTAATATAAAAATTTTAACTTCTACTGGCATGTACTTAATATATAACTTTGGTAATTCGACAGCAGTTCAGTAATACATTTATAATTAGAGGCTTCAGATTATAAGCAATGGGCATTGTTAATGTGAATTGTCATTGTTAAGGTTAGGGAAAAAAGTCACCATTACCACTTGGCACAGTAAATAGCAAACACTTCTACAGTGTTTACCATGTCAGGTATTGTAAGCAATTTACACATATTAACTCACCACTCATCCTTACAACCTAACGAAACTGGAATCTTCATTCTACAGCTGAGAAAGCTAAGACAAGTTACACACAAGGTAAAAATGAGGGGCCAGGATTCTAAAGCAGTCTGGCTCCTGAGTCCTCAGCTCTTCCAGGATGGCCTTTCTGCATGTTAATTAAAAAAGCATTTATTGTCTGTGATACTAAAATGTAATTATTTGGGGGGTATCACGACTGTTCTTCCCTTGAAATGATCAGTAACAAAATGTCAAATTTTGAGAAGATCCATGCAACCACAGCTACTTGGGGGCTGTACATGACTCACATCATGAACTCATTCTGAGTTTCAGAGCTTCAAGACTCCCTTCTTGGCGGGGAAACTACATTAAATTTTATAACAGAGTGTTA